GCCCCCTGGGACCATCTGCGACCCCCTGGACCGCCCTCGGGGACCTCCTGAACCCTCCTCCTCAGCCCCCCTGAACCTTTCGTGGTACCACCTGGGACCCCCTGAGCTGCCCCAGGGACCTTCCAGACCCCCAGACCCCATCCCAGTGTCCCCCTGGGAAACCCCCCGAAGTTGCCACAACTCTCTCTGGGACCCCTTGAACTTCCCTGGGAACCCCCTGGGACCTCTAGACCCCCTGAATCCCCTCTGAGACCCTCAGGATTCCTCCAGACCCCCTGAACCTCCTGGGAACCTCCTTGAAAATCCCTCAAGACCCCTCTGGGAACCCTGTTGGGACCCCCCTTGAACTTTTCCCGGGACCCCTGCCCTGGGGGCAGAAGAGACTTGAGCCCCAGGGGTCGTGGTGGTGCACCCTGCGTGTCCCCTTCGGGGTGTCCTCCCGGGGGTGGGGACACCGGAGCTAAGGTGTCCATCTCACCCCCCCGTGGTGTCCCCATCTCACCCCCCCGTGCTGTCCCCATCTCACCCCCCCGTGGTGTCCCCAGGCGCCTCTGCATCCTGAAGGGGATCTACCCCCACGAGCCCAAGCACAAGAAGAAGGTGAACAAAGGCTCCACCGCTCCCAGGACCTTCTACCTCCTCAAGGACATCAAATTCCTCCTCCACGAGCCCATCGTCAACAAGTTCCGGGAGTACAAGGTGATTGTCCTGGGGACCCCCGGGGGGGTTGGGGGGTGCTCGGGGCTCGCCCTGTCTCCCACAGCCCCCCCATGTCCCCCTGTCCCCACAGGTGTTTGTCCGGAAGCTCCGGAAGGCGTATGGGAAGAGCGAGTGGGGCACCGTAGACCGGCTGAAGGACAACAAACCCACCTACAAGCTCGACCACATCGTGAAGGAGAGGTGAGCTCCAGCCTCATCTTTTCCCAGGAGGGCTTTTCCTGCAGCCAGGAGCTTCATCAGGAACCTCCTATACTTTTCCAGGGGGTTTTGATGGACATTTGAGTTCCTGGGCCGGAGGAGAAGGCTGTGGTGTGCTGCAGGGAGCAGCTGGGTGGCTCCAGGATCTCCAGGCAGATGCTGGGGGCTTTCCTTCTCTCCCTGAGCAGTGTTTTCCTGGTGGAGGGGACTGATGCCAGCATAGTGGAGTTTGGTGGCAAGGAGAGAGGACAGGAGAGGAGCCAGGAGGAAGGGAACCTGTGTTGGCAGGTCTCTTGGTTGTCCCTCTCTGCGCTGGTGCAGAGAAATGGCACTGAGGGACAGACACTGCTGGGCTGAGGAGCTGCTGATGTGCCACCCCAGAGGCCACCAGCCTGCTCGTCCCTGCTGGGCCCACGCTGGGATTTCCCAACTCTCAATGCCCTAAAACCTGGTGACACCCACCCTGTGGTTCCCAGGGTACTGCCATCCCCTCACCAGGGCAGTTCCAGGCTCCCCAGGGAGCTGCTTGCAGGTCCCTGCATGCCCAGAAAGGACACCTTGTCCCCGTGGGTCACCAGCTGTGTGGGATGGGAGGTGGATGCTCCCTGCTGCCTGCTCCTCTCTCCCACTGGGTCTCTCCCAGCCCCAGCAGCTTCTGGTGGGCACTGGGGCTGTGATGTCCCCCCTTCCTCCTCCTGCCCGGCCACAGGTACCCAACCTTCATCGACGCCCTGCGGGACCTGGACGATGCCCTCTCCATGTGCTTCCTGTTCTCCACCTTCCCGCGGACGGGCAAGTGCCACGTCCAGACCATCCAGCTGTGCCGCCGCTTGGCCGTCGAGTTCCTCAACTACGTCATCGCCTCCCGCTCCCTGCGCAAGGTGGGGCTGAGGGCCCCCCTGCCCGGGGGCAGACCTGGGGGCCGTGGGGAAGTTCTGCTGGGCTGAGGCACTCACAGGAGTGAGTGCCTTCCCCTGATGAACCTGCTGGTTAGGGAAGGGTTAATGAGTCAGGGGTAAGGGACCCCTGGCACCTTCCTCCCCCTGAGCTCTCTGTTCCCTGCCAGGTCTTCCTTTCCATCAAGGGCATCTACTACCAGGCAGAGGTACTGGGGCAGCCTGTCACCTGGATCACCCCCTACACCTTCTCCCACGATGTGAGTACCTGGGATCCACGTGGGATACCCGCTGCTCCCTCCCTCTGCATCAATCCCTGCCTGGCAGCAGCAGCTCCCAGCCTCCTCACCCCTCCTGAGGAACTGTGCGTGGCCTGGGGGGCACTGGCCTCCCCACTGCGTGGCAGGGACCTTCCAGAGCCCCTGGGGACAGCAGGGTGGGACAGGAGGCTGCAGGTCTGTCTAGTCCCTAGACCATCCTGTGGGTCTGGCACTGGGACAGTGCTCAGCTCATGTGGGGACACAATCCTCTCCTCCCTGGGTGGCTGTACCCGTGTCCCCTGTGACTGGCTGTACCAGCCTCCCTGCTTCCTTATTTCCTCTTGTCAATGATTAAAACAGGCACTAATCGGCAGCTAACAATTAGCCTGTGAGAGCGAGGCCAGTGGTGCTGCAGGAGGAGCCAGGGCAGACCCAGCTCCCTGTGCCCGGGTGGCTCTGCTGTGTCCCCCACCAGGGACAAGCTGCTGTGCCCCGTGCCAGGACAGCCGTGCCTGGCCAAGGTTCTCAGGAGGCAGGAGCTCACCAGCACAGCCATGCCCTCCCATTCTGCTCCCGACATTCCCAGGGCTTAGCACAGCTGGGTTGAAGTTTTCCAGCTCCTTGTGGCCTTTGGTGTGGTCCTCACCAGGGCTCACCCCCGTGGCACCTTGGGCCACCCGTGTCCTTCCCCACCAGCATCACTTCCCCCTCCCCTGGGTTCTGGCTGATCCCTGCCAGGGTTCAGCTCCTTTCCCTGCTTTGTCATGGCCTGCACATCTCACCTGGGGGAGCAAAGTCCCCAGACCAAGCCACCGAGATCCCCACCAGTGGTGGGATGAGGGTCCCCATCCCACGGAGCAGGTTTCCTCAGAGGAGCCCTGGTTACAAGTCTGGAGGGCTTAACCTGCCCCGGGTCCAGCCGTGGCTGTGGATCTCCAGACCTCGCTGTGATGGAGGCAGGATCCTCCTCCCTGTGCAGATGGGATGGGTCCTGCCCCTGCAGAGGACCATGGTCTATTGTCCCTGTGTCCTCACCCTCCCCGTGTGCCTGCAGCACCCTACAGATGTGGATTACCGTGTGATGGCCACCTTCACTGAGTTCTACACCACCCTGCTGGGCTTCGTCAACTTCCGCCTCTACCACTCCCTCAACCTGCACTACCCCCCCAAGGTGAGGCCACCACCTGCCCTGGGGACGTGCCACCCTGTCCCCAGCCCGTGGCAGGGGTTGGGGTGGTGAAGGGGGGGAATGTCTGGGGGCTCTGGGGTGGGAGCTGCCTCCCCACCCTTCTATGTCTTCCCAGATCGATGGCCAGGCTGATGTTGAGCTGAAGCCAGCGGAGGGCAAGGAGTACGCCATGGATTCAGAGAGCTACCTGGAGGTGAGGGACACTGCTGTCACCCGGCCTGTGGGGGGACCCCACGTGGCCTTGATCTCCTGACCCCAGACTCCTCCACCCCTCCTGGCATGGGCACACTCAGCAGAGCCTGATCCCGGGTCCCAGACTCCTCGCCCCCTCAGGCTGAGGAGCTGTGTGTGATCTTGGGCTCCCTTGCGTGGTGTGGGACCCTCCCAGGGACAGAGGGTGGGACAGCACATGGAGGAGGCTGAAGGCCTGTCTCGTCTCCAGGTCTTTTGACCTCTTGCTCTGAGAAATCACCTTCTCCTTCCTCTCTGAGGCTGCCCCTCTTCCCATCCCAAAGTGCTGGCTGGAGGTGACACTTCCTGGGTCTCTTCCTGCTGCAGAAACTGTCAGCTCTGAGTGCCAGCCTGGCCCGTGTGGTGGCACCGACCCACGAGGAGGAGGTGGAGATGGACGAGTTCCCGGTGGAGGGGGTAAGAGCCTGGCAGGGGGGCCTCAGCCCTGGCTTTGGGCTGTGCTCTCTGTGGATGTCCTTGTGGCAGGGCTCAGTGTGGTGCCGGGAGGGACTCCAGGAGGGTGGGGACAGCACCTGGAGGGCCTTGCTGGGGGCTGTTCCTGGGGAGGGTGCTGAGCACCTTGCTCTGAGCAGGAGACAGCGGAGCAGATGGATGCGAGGAAGAAGGAGCAGGAGGCCCTGGAGAAGCAGCAGAAGCTGTTTGAAGGGCTGCGCTTCTTCCTCAACAGGGAGGTGCCTCGGGAGCCTCTGGCCTTTGTCATCCGGTATGTGGTGGGCGTGGGCACCTGTACCACGTTTGCCTCCCCCAGCCTCCCTGCTGGGACTTCTGAGGCCGATCTGCCCGGTGTTCCTCGGGCCCCTTGCTTACCTGACTCCTGGGTGGGTGTTGGTGGCAGGTGCTTTGGTGGGCAGGTCTCCTGGGACAAGTCCCTGTGCATCGGTGCCACCTACGATGTGAACGACCCCTCCATCACCCACCAGATCGTGGATCGGCCCCGCGTGGAGAAGCAGGTGGTGGGCAGGTGGGTAAGGCAGGTCCCCCCACACCTGTGGGCCCCCCCAGCCCCAGGGAGGAGCCTGAGCCCTGCCCCTCTGCCCACCAGGTACTACCTGCAGCCTCAGTGGGTCTTCGACTCGGTCAACGCCAGGCTCTGCCTCCCGGTGGCCGGGTACTTCCCTGGGGAGCTGCTGCCCCCCCACCTCTCGCCCTTCGTGACCGAGCAGGACGGGGACTATGTCCCCCCTGAGAAGCTGAGGCTGCTGGCCCTGCAGCGTGGGGAGGAGCAGGGTGAGCAGGAACAGGCAGCAGGGCAGCCCTGCCGGGCTGTGGGAACCCTGCTGGGAACCATGCTGGGAACCCTGCTGGGATGGAGAAGCAGGTAGGAAGGGTGCTGGGAAGGGAAGGGTGCTGGGAACCGTGCTGGGAAGGTTGCTGGGAAGGGTGTTTAGGGTGCTGGGAAGGGAGGAAGGGTGCTGGGAAGGGAAGGGTGCTGGGAACCGTGCTGGGAAGGTTGTTGGGAAGGGTGCTGGGAAGAGAAGGGTGCTGGGAATTGTGCTGGGAATGGTGTTGAGAACTGGGCTGGGAATGGCATTGGGAACAGTGCTGGGAATGGTGTTGGGAACGGTGGTCTCTTTAGGTGAAGAGAGTGAGGAAGAGGAAGAAGAAGAGGATGATGACAATGTCAAGGAAGAGGAGGATGATGATGTCGAGGAAGAGGAGGAGGAAAATGAGTCTGAAAAGGAAGAGGAGATGAAATTGAAGAAGATGGAAGAGCAGAAGACACAGAGTAATAAGGTATGGATAGGGGGTGGGAGCCCCAGCAGGAGGCAGCTCCTGTGAGCTCCGTCCCTCTGCTCGCTGTGGGGTGTCCTCATGGTCCCTGTTCCAGGACCACTGTGGCTGGAGCTCTCCTTGGAGCTGGACCACTCCTGGGCCACCCTCCAGGGGGCCCTAGACCCGTGTCCATGAGCTGCAGCTCCCGGTCATGGCCAGGCCTTGCCACCAGCTCCAGAGGACACTCTTCCTTGGCCACCAGTGAATGGTGTGGAAATTTGTCCCTGGCGGGCTGCCAGTGCCCAGGGTCCTGAGCTCTGGGTCTCTGCAGGCCCTTCCTGTGAAGGTGACAGCTGGGAAGCTGAGGCTGGAGGACAAGCAGCGCCTGGAGCAGGAGCAGCAGAGCGAGGAGAAGCGTCTGGCCATCATGATGATGAAGAAGAGGGAGAAATATCTCTACAAGAAGATCATGTTTGGCAAAAAGCGCAAAGTTCGAGAGGTACGAGTGGTGGGATCCCTGCCTGGAGCTGCCTCTTCCTAGGCCAGGGATCTCCCCACGGGCAGGGCACAGCTCCTTGTTGGCTTGTTTGTGCCTGGCAAGTGAAGCTGTTGCACCCGTCCCTTCCCTGCTCCTTGCCCCCGTCCCTGTCCCTATCCCTTGTCCTGTCACTGTTCCTCTCCCTTCCCTTCTCCCTGTCCATGTCCCTCTCCCTTCCACTCTTCCTTCCTCTCTCCCTCTCCCTCCCTCTCTCCCTTCCCCTCTCCCTGCCCTGGGGGCCGCAGCAGCTGGGTCAGTCTCCCCTGGGTACAGCTGGTGGGTTTGGTGGGACCAGGGTGGAGCAGCCCTGGGTGGCTGCAGGTGGGTCTGACTCTGGGTCTCGGGGGGTTTCTCCACAGGCCAACAAACTGGCTGCCAAGAGGAAAGCCCACGACACGGCCCTCAAAGAGGAGAAAAAGAAAACCAAGAAGGCACGACGGGCGTGAGGGGCCTGGAGCTCCTCCCAGGTGTGGCTGCACCTTATGGACACCATCGCTTTTGGGTGAAAACCCCTCAGCTTTTGTCCTGGGACAGAAATACTCAATTAAAACCTTTCCCCTCTGTAAATCCCCACCCCTGCTGTGCCTTGCCCGGGGCTGCCACTGCCTGTCCTGTGGGATCAGCGTCATGGAGACTGTCACCTTCACGCTGGTGCTGCATCTCCTCCCAGCCCCGTGAGGATGAGGTGGTGGCCAGAAGAAACTCTGGGCTCTTGTGGATCTCTCCAGGTTTGATCCTCCTGGATTTGCACAGTGCTGGGCAGAGGAGCTGAGCTCCCGTGGTGGAGCAGGAGCTCTCCAGCTGGGCGGGACGATGCAGCGTGTTTGGAGTTGGGGCACGAAGAGGGAGGCACCAAGATGGTCCTGCCATGGTGAGAGGGGCCCATGGCAGCAGGGAGCCCGTCCCCTGCCCTGCCCCCTGCAGGGACAGCCCCTCTTCTCTGTGGTTTTTATTTGTCATTAAAGGTGACACTTGCCATGGCCTGTGTCTGTCCGCTCCTGGCTGTGGTGGCTGCGGGCAGTGCTCGGCCCGGGCATGGGTTGGGCTGGAGGTGGCTTCTCATCCTGCCCTGGGTGAGCAGGGACAGTTGGTGGGAGATGGAGCAGAAGGGACAGAGCCTGGTCCCTGCTTCAGGTGCTGTGACCTGTGGACTGTCACCTTGCTCCTTGTCACACCCTCTGCCTGCCTCCCTTTTCTAGCTGCAGGTTTGGGTGGGGTCTGCTCTATCCCAGCTGTGGGCCAAGAGCCAGCTCCAGTGTTTGGTTCAACCAAAGGAAGTCCCAAGTCCAGCCTCTGGGGAGGAGTGGAACCAGGACACGCTGGGGGGCACCAGGACATGCTGAGGGGCACCAGGACACACTGGGGGGCACCAGGACACACTGAGGGGCACCAGGACACACGAGGCCACCAGCAGCTTGACAGAAAATGCCCTGAGGTCCTGGTGGGGACCATGACCATCAGCCACCAATGTGCCCTTGGGGCAAAGAGGGCTCATGGTGCTGCATGAGAAGGTTGAAGAAGGTGATCCTGGCCTCCAGTGCTGGTGAGGCCACTCATGGGGTGCTGTGTCCCACGACAGGCTCCCCACTGCAGGAGAGACATGGACATACTGGAGGGAGTCCAGCAAAGGGCCACCAAGGTGATGCAGGGACTAGAGCATCTCCTGGGAGGAAAGGCTGTGAGAGCTGGAGCTAGAGAAGAAAAGGTTCAGGGAGATCTTAATAGTCATAAATACCCAAGGGGAGGGTTTGAATATAGATCTAGTGTCTTCTCAGTGGTGCCCAGCACCAGGACATGAGGTGATGGGCACAAACTGGAACCCAGGAGGTTCTTCTGAATGTCAAGAAACACTTCACCATCGAGGTGACCAAGCACTGGCAAAACGTTGCCCAGGGGGTGGTTAATGCTCCATCCATGGAGATGTTGTGACCAGGCAGGTTGGACCAGGTGACCTTCAGACGTGCCTCCATCCCCTCTGGGACACTGTTGATCACCTGCAAAGGCACGAGGCAAAAGTTTCTGGGAATCACTGTCCCTCCCCCACCTGCCTCCAGCAACAGGCCAGGGGGGTGTTTTTTTGGGGTGAAGAAGAGGTTCTTTTGGGGCTCTTGGCTGAGATAAAGCAATGCATGGAGAAAACAGGGCCTCCACAGCCAGCAGCCCTAGTGTGGGCAGCATTGTTCACTCCCTTCTTTTCCCTTAAATTATATTTTTTTCCCCCAAAAACAGCTGCCCCCACACAGGGTTCCTCACCAGGGCCTGCTCATGGCCTTCCTCCCGGGGAGAGGAGGAGGTAATGCAAGGTTTTGCACAAGGGTTTTGGGATTTTGCCTTTTTTTTGGCTTGTTTCAGGAGCTGGGAAGGGGGTCCTGAGGTGGGGTGGGTCACTGTGGGGTTTTTGTAGGGTTTTGGTGAGTGTGGCCTTGGGGTGTGAAGGTCACAAGGCTCACAAGGCTTATGGGGGCACCCTTGTCTCCAGCCACAATGAGGGCTGTTGTATTTCATGGGACACCCTTGTCTGCAGCTGTGGTGAAGGTTGGCCCATCAAATGGGGGTTTTGTGGGGACACCTTGTCCCCAGCTATGGGGAGGTTGTATCATGGGGCTCATACAGGGGAGCTCTAGTCCTCGGCTGCAGGGAAGGTTGTGCCATCTCAGGGTTTTCATGGGGACACCTTGGCCCTGTGGTGAAGGCAGTGTCATCTCATGGGGTTTTTATGGGGACACTTTCTCTCCATCTGTGGTGAACAATGTGGTATCTCATAGGGCTTTATGGGGACACCCCTTGCCCTCAGCTGTGGTGGAGGCTGTGTCATCTCATGGGGTTTCCCTGGGATCACCTTGTCCCCAGCCATGGCAAAGGCTGGTGATCTTGTCTGGCTTGATGGGGACACCCCCGTGCTCAGCTGTGGTGGAGGCTCCAACACCTGGTGGGGTTTTTTGGATGACACCCTCTTTTCCAGCCCAGCCAAGATGGAGGCTGTGCCACCTCACAGCATTCCTGTGGGGACACAGGTGTGACCCCTGAGCTCAACACCAGTGCTGCCAGCCCGGGGGGTCAGTAACTGAGCAGTGAGCAGGCACCAGCACCCATGAGGAACCACCAATAACCACCTTTTCTTCCTCGTTTTCTTTCTCTTGTTTTCCTTTTCCCCCTCTTTTCCCCATTTTTGGTTTGGTTTGGTTGGGTTTTGTTTTGTGGGTTTTTTTCACTCTGGGGCATTGGAAGGGTTTGGCCTTTTGTTTTCCTTTTTTTTTTAAATTTTATTTCTTTTTCCTTGCTTTTTCCCTCCGCCTTCCTTGGCTTCCCCTCCAGGAAAAGGAGGATGTTCCACCCCTTGGGAGCTCCTGGGGCTGCACCCAGAGCCAGGCCTCCCACTGTGGGGGGGCAGGAGACCCTGAGTAGATTTTCCCAACCCCACCAGAACATCTGGACGCCTGTTCCTGGGGGGGGAGGAAAGATGAGGAGAAGGGAGGTGGGCTGGGCAGGGAGCCAGGCCTCCCACTGTGGGGGGGCAGGAGACCCTGAGTAGATTTTCCCAACCCCACCAGAACATCTGGACGCCTGTTCCTGGGGGGGGAGAAGGATGAGGAGAAGGGAGGTGGGCTGGGCAGGAGAGCCAGGAGCAGGCAGCAGCCCCGGGAGCCTGACCACAAACTGGTCTCCCCACCCCAACAGTCACTGCTTCCCCACCCGGTGCTCATGACGGCTCTTCTGGGTGATAAAGGTGCCCGACACCGCCCCGGCCAACCCGTGTCCAGCAGGGCCAAGCCCTGGCCTGGCCAGGCTGAGCCACCACCCTCCAGCCAGAGCTCCAGCTCCTCACCAACATCCCTTGGGATCCCCAGCAACCGTGGGCGCTTCCCTGCCAGTCGTGGGGCTGGGCGTGAATGCTTTATTTGTGCTTCCCGAATCCTGGCTCTGCCTGCTCCCCGGGTGAGGGGACAGGGTGGTGGTGGAGCCCCCCTAGGGATGGTTTGTGCCCCGTGGGGTCCTGGGGACGGGCCGTTGTGGCTCTCCAGGTGGTTGAAATGGAGCCCCGAGGCTGAGCATCCTGCTGCTGAGCTGCCACATCCCACTCCCCTCATCCTCTTCCCACTGGAAACCCTTTGCCACACCATCCCAAAAAAGAAAAGAGGATCAAGCCAAGTGCCCTGTGGAGGGGGGGTGGGATGCTGCTGTTCCCAGGGCGAATCCAGGTGAGGATGGGAGCAGGTGGCAGAGCTGGGGGTGCTGGTTAACTGGGTTAGGTCCTGTCCCACAGCTGCTGTCCCCAAGGACACACAGGCCCTGGGGACAGCGGGGAGAGAGGGGCCCTAACATCCCAGGTGTGATCCCAGCTGGGGCTGGGCACAACTGGGCATGGGTGGGATCAGGGCTCAGTGGCTGCTGCACACTCCAGTGTCACCCTGCCTCAGAGTGGGGACGAGTCCCCTGTCCCTGTCCTGGCAGCCTCTACGTCCCAGCACTGGGTTTTGGGGAGCACTCACTGGCTGGCTCCTCCCTGCTCCCCCGACGTACCCGTTCCTCTCCACTGCCAACACAGGCTCGGGTGTTGGTTTAGAGGATCTAGTGGGATCCTGGGGCTGATCACAGAATCACAATGTCAGGGGTGGGAAGGGACCTCCAAAGATCATCGAGTCCAACCCCCCTGCCAGGGCAGGACCAAAACCAGGGCAGATCCCTCAGAAAGGCACCCAGACAGGTCTGGAAAGGCTCCAGAGAAGGAGCCTCCACAGCCTCTCTGGGCAGCCTGTCCCAGGGCTCTGTCACCCTCACAGGAAAGAAGTTCTTCCTTATGTTGAGGTGGAACTTCCTGGGCTCCAGTTTGAATCCATTGCCCCTCGCTGAGGACAGGAGGTGTCTGTCCTGGGACAGCAGGGACAAGCCAGTGGGAGGCAGCAGCTCCTCATCCCTCTCCTCCCCATGAGGACATTCTGGCTCCTCCTGTCCCCCTTGCTAGCAGGGGTTGAGCAAGTCAGTGCTGGGGTTACTGTCTGTCCAGGACGTGGCAGCTGCCAGCGGTGGAGCAATCACTGTCTGCCCGCCCAGGTCACCCCAGACCCTGAACCCCAAGTCCCTCCAGCTGGATGGAGACTCAAGTGAAGCCACTGAGGGGTGTGTGCCCTCTGGTTATTCCGGAGCCAAGCCCCGTGGTGCTGGGTGCTGCTGGAGCAGCCACAGCTTGCTTGGCCACCTGAGGAGACACACAGTGTCACCAAATCCACCACCAGCTTTGAGGGCAGTGGGAAGTGCCCAGGGCCAGATCTGGGCACACAGTGGCCCCTTCCCGGGGGGTGCCCGGTGAGGGTGCCCTGGGGAACCCGCACTCCCAGCACAGCCAGCGGGTGGGAGGAGGCTGCCTGGTTATCGGGCTGAGCACAGATATTGCTGCCCTCGAGGCCATAAAAGCTGTTCAGGTAGGGCGGGGGGGATGGAGTGGAGCCCGTGGAGTCGCGCCAGGACACCCCGGGGAGCAGGGGCCGGGTCGGAGAGCAGGGCCCAAGGTGAGCTCCGGCTGCTGGGGGGACAGCTTGGCCACCAGCTGTCCCACGGGAGGGTGGCTGGTGGCTGATGAG